GAAGCTAGGGAAATGATTACTGGGCCCTTTGCTGAGATATTTGTATCATCGATAGCCACAGGTGAGGTGCTGGAAGACAGGAGGTTGGCTAACATGATGCCATTATTTAAGAAAGGTGGTAATGAAAAGCCAGTGAACTATCGAATGGTGAGCCTGACATCAGTGGTGGGCAAGTTGTTGGAAGGAATCCTGAGGGACAGCATTTACATGTATTTGGAACAGCAAGGACTGATTAGGGACCGTCAACATGGCTTTGTGGGTGGGAAATCGTGTCTCACTAACTTGATTGAGTTTTTTGAAGAAGTAACAAAGAGGGTTGATGAGGACAGAGCAGTGACGTGATCAAAATGGACTTCAGTAAGGCATTTGATAAGGATCATCATGGTAGACTGGTTAACAAGGTTAGATCACATGGAATACCTGGAGAACTAGCTATTTGGATACAGAACCGGCTCAAAGGTAGAAGACAGAAGATGGTGGTGGAGTTTGCTTTCAGACTGGAGGCCTGAGACCAGTAGTGTGCCACAAGGATCAGTGCTGGGTCCACTGCTTTTCATCAATTATATAAATGATTTGGATGTGGACAAAGGAGGTGTGGTTAGTAAGTTTGCAGATGACATTAAAATTGGAGGTGAAATGGACAGCGAAGAAGGTTACCTCAGAGGACAACTGGATCTTGATCAGATGGGTAAATGGGCCGAGGAGTGGCAGATGGAGTTTAATTTAGGCAAATATGAGGTGCTGCAATTTGGAAAGGCAGATCAGGGCAGGGCTTATACACTTAAGGGTAAGATCCTGGGGAGTGTCGCTGAACAAAGAGACCTTGGAGTGCACGTTCATAATTTCTTGAAAGTGGAGTCGCACGTAAATAGGATAGTGAAGAAGGCATTTGGTATGCTTGGCTTTATTGGTCAGTGCATTGAGTATAGGAGATGGGAGGTCATGTTGCAGCTGTGCAGGACATTGTTTAGGCCAATTTTGGAATACTGCATTCAATTCTGGTCTCCCTGCTATGGGAAGGATGTTATGAAACTTGAAAGGGTTCAGAAAAGATTTACAAGGATGTTGTCAGGGTTGGAGGGTTTATGCTACAGGGAAAGGCTGAATAGGCTAGGGCTATTTTCCATAGAGTGTCGAAGGCTGAGGGGTGACTTTACAAATGTTTACAAGGTCATGATGGGCATGGATAATGTAAATAGACAAGGTCTTTTCCCCAGGGTATGATAGTCCAAAACTAGAGGCCATAGGTTTAAGGTGAGAGGGGAATGATTTAAAAGGGGCTTAAGGGGCAACTTCTTCTCACACAAAGGGTGGTGTGTGTATGGAATGAGCTGCCAGAGGAAGTGGTGGAGGCTGGTACAATTACAACATTTAAAAGGCATCTGGATGGGTATATGAATAGGAAGGGTTCAGATGGATTTGGGCCAAATGCTGGCAAATGGAACTCGATTTATTTAGGCTGTCGGGTTGGCATGGAGGAGTTGGACCGAAGAGTCGGTTTCTGTGCTGTACATCTACGACTCTATGACTCTTTGACGTTGTACGAGAAAAATAATTCTCCTTGTCTGTCATAAATGGTTGGCCCTTTATTTTTAAATAAATCCCTCTAGTCCTGGATTCTCCAACAGGTTCCGAAAATAATCAAGAAGATGAATGGAATACCTGCCTTTATATTTAGATGGCTGGAGCGTAAATAAGGATGCAGAAGTTATACTGCAGTTGTACAAAACTCTGGTTAGACACAACCTTGGTACTGTGAACATTTCTGGGTACCACACTTTTGGAAGGATATTTTGGTCTTGAAGGAAGTACAATGTAAGTTTACCAGAATGATACCTGGACTTCAGGGGTTAAGTTATTAAGGGATATGGGCCAAAGGCAGATATATGGAGTTAGACCACAGATCAGCCAATAATGTCATTGAATGGTGAAACAGGCTGAATGGCCTGCTCCTGTTGCTAGATTCCTCTGCTGTTATGCTCCTTACCCTCATAGCAGTACCTCTGCTATCTTAGCAATTTGCTGGAAGAGAAATCACTAGACTGCTGTGAAATTCTGTTATCCCATCTCAATGGTGGTAACCACTGGTTATAAGGGTGAGAATGTTTTTCATCTTTGTCACTGCTTTGCTGCATTTCCAGTTTTCCTCCACTGCCTGTCTAGAATTGTGGAGGCATTGCCGTAGGATTGTGGTAGTCACTTCATGGATGACAAACCTGATATCCTTTTTCAGGATAATCGCATTTGTCTTTACAACACTGCCACTCTGCTAGTGCCCTTTCTGTCATCTATAAGGCAGTCAGACCACTATTGCTTGTCTGAAGGTGGTGCCATCCAAAACTGGGTCTTCCAGGACTAGAGACAACAAGGTGCAGGGCTGGACGAACACAGCAGGCC